ACTTCTGCAGCGACGAATCTCGTCGGACATCGCTAATACCTTTAGCGACATTAATGGAGTTTCAAAGACTATAATTTAGGTCTCTGAGAAGGTTTTCTCTTGTCTATGATACTATAAATGACTCTTTTTTCTAATCAATGTGAGATTTTATTTGCAAATATTGCAACTCAAAGAGAAACTACGTATGGATATATGACGTCAAATGGCCATAAATGGGAAGGTGAGGGAATTGAAAGATGGCGATTATTATATCATCTTCAGAAGCCAATTGGGCAACAACCATGATGATCACTGTTCATAAGCCACGCTCTTATAAGGTGGCAACAACCACTGATGATCACTGACCATACCAGCGTGTTTTAAGGGAGAAAATGAGAGACATGGAAGTGCCAAATTCTTCTTTCTTCTCCTTCTTCAATCTCCATCATTGCCCATCTCTGCACATTCTGTCTTCTTTCTCACTTTCTATAACAAATCCGACGCATTCTGCATCTCAGTCTACATACCCTTCACGCCTCACCAAATATTTCTCCTCTGTCGTTTTTCATTTTCAGTATATAGTTTGTCGGGAATGCAAATATAAGTAAAGATAACATCTTCATTCGTGTGAAAAAACTTTTTGGATAGTGTATGACAGTATTGGACCGACGAAATCGTCAAAGAAAATAAAAATGGTGAGTTGCACAGAAAATGTACTAGTTAATAACTTAATATCAAGGGCAACTAATTAATTTGAGATAGAATCTATGAATATTGAGAAAGTTAAAAGAAATAATATCATTTAATTTGAACTTGCCAAATAAATCAGTTGCTACTTCTACCAGGTCATGCAGTTGAAAGCGAGTTGAAATGAAAGAGTGGGCTAATAGAAGGATGTCAAAAATTCAACTGCACTTCACCCCCCGAATTGTTCGTATCCAGATGAAAGACTAAATTACAATTAAAGATTCGAATTTGAACTTTAAGGTGAGTCCAATTTATGTTTGGCCAACAATTCAGCTTGTAAAATGATATATATAGAATGTAAGGGTTCAAAAATGTGTTGCACAGTCGTTTCAACCTCCAAGAATTTAATCTACTATATCTTATCTAAACGTACGTGGCAGCAAAACACTAGCAAAATTGATAGGAAATGTAAAATATATAGTGACTAAAAAAAATACTATATTTGTAATTTTGTTTTCATATTTACAACAAATCTTTAATTTTTTGCTATAATTAAAACCCTAAATTAAATTAAGATCATGACAAAGTTGGGGGGACAGAGAGTTTCACAACAAACAAAACTCATTAGAGAAAAAGGGTGTCACAAAGTCGTAAAGAAGAACACTACCATAAATAATGCGACAACCATAAAAAGGTAGTTTTAATTTGCTAAGCTTTTTTGCTAAATTAATTAATATGGCCATTAATTTGTGGTTTTTCCTACCCTATTTTCAACATCTTTATTAACTTAGCTATCACTGCAAAGAGTGATTTTCGCCGTGAAATTTTCATTACATTGAAACTTTATTTGATTGGACATAATTGTGGTGGTTATGGAGTTAATTAAAGTTTCATTCACATAATTTGAGATATATTATATTATTAAATTTGACTTTCCTTCACCACGTAAATTTGCAATTATTTCTGCTTTTCTGATCAATTTTTTTCAAGGGAGTGTTCGGGTTTTATGGATTAAAGCTTGTGTATATTTTGAACCCTGGTTTTAACATGTAGATTTTTGTTTATCCTAAACCATGAGGCGTGCATTATCATATTACTCCAAAGGAGTCAAATAAATTCTAAAATATCTCACCTATTTGGAAAATAATATCCTCGTAAGGGTTTTCTTACTAATCAAATGTATTTTTTCTCACTGACCACATGTGGCAGCCCCTGATACGATAAGATCAATGATGAGTACGTCAGCATAGATCAATTCTAGACTCGTTACTTTGAATTCCATTTACTAGGTCGAGTGGGACTGACTCCCAGTTCGGCCACCTAAAAGATACACTGAGCCAACCTAGTATCTCATACATCAGTAGCCTGATCTACCAGCTGCGCCGATCAAAGTTCGACATAGTCGTGATCTCCAGAACCCTAAAGAGGGTGTTGGAGGCTTGTCGAAAGTCCTGTTGGAAGTATAGAGACCTTCCACCTCATTCCCAAGTACACAGAACTATATAGCTCGGACACTCACTGTTGGAGTGTTTTCTCTTTTGCAGGCAGCTGCTATTCGAGCCGAGGTTTGTAAACTTGGTCAAAAAAATTTGTTAGTACAACAAGTGGGGGTGAAGGATTCGAACTCACACCCTCATGATTGGAGATAGGTACCAGTACCACTGAGCTACTGGCAACTTGATCAAACAAGAAACAAAATTAAAAATGAAATTGATGCAAAAATGTAAGGAGATAAAAGAAATATATAATTTAATCATATGATGAAACTATTAATGTAAATTGTGGGTATGATATTAATTAGATCATAACCCAATTTTGGGTGGAAGGGAATGAGTGGGTTCATCTCACATGTATGTGCTCCCATGCATCTGATTGAAATGACCAAAGTATATATATAAAAAATTCTTTTGCATATTTTTGTATTTGTTATTATTATCATATTTTTTTAATAATTTTTCTTTCAAATGTATGAGAGATGTAAATTTGAACCCGAGACCTTTAAGACATATGAATAATGACCTAACCAGTTGAGGTTGACATTTTTGTCTAATTATTTGTACCATAGTTTCATCAATATTTTTATAATATGTTATATAATATATTAAAGAAGGACAATATAAAGAACAAATATATTCATTGATTTTGATTTTGAACACTAACATATCTTGGATTATATATGGAATATTTCTTCCCTTTTGTATCCGTATTCGTACCTTTGGATATTCAATGTTAGTGACATCTTTTACAAGTATTATTAAACTTCATTGATGGTTACCAAATTTACAGTGTTTTTAATTTTCAGAATTAGAAATAATGAGATTCTTTTTTTCAGAAAAAAAATAGAAAATTAGCTTCCATCTTATTTATTTTGTTAAGAGAAATTTTAAAGATAAAACACTAAAATGATCATAGGATTCTTTCGGCAATGTTTTAAATATATATAGAGAAAAAAAAGTGATAATAATGAAAGAGCAACTAGGCTGTTATGGATTTGGCCGATTAAATTCATAAGCTTGTAGTGGAAGCCCAAGTTTTGAAGAGTATTTATTTTAATAAGATAGTTAAAAATAAATAAATAAAACATACACTACCCAGACTAAAGCGAGCATAGGTCAACGATAATTAATATATATATTCAACTAATAAGTTGTGAATTTGATCTCTCACCCCAATATATTGTATTAGAAAAAAACACACACACGTCTGAGAATTAGAATCGGACCCACATATTTTTTATAATATCGTATGAATAAATATGACATCTAACAAATTAATGAATATTTTTGAGTGATCTAGGAATTCTGTTTGCAAATTTTGGAATACACCAAAATAAATCAAGTAAAATTAATTTGACATTAAATCAAGTTTATATATTTTTTTAGTACAACAAAATATCAGATAGATATTCAAATTCATAACTTCTTGATCGGAGATATATATCTTAATTAATTTTTTTTCTTTTTTTTTTTAAATATAACAACATATGGAGATGGAGATTTAAACTCACGACCTTTTAGTATGAGATATTTAGTAACTTAACTAGTTAAGTTAAGTTTGACCCTGTCTTGGCTAGTTGGTTTGAATTGGCAAATCGAATTGATATTGAAACTTCAGACTCTAAAATTGATTTTTCAAATGCAAAAATGTAATAATGGACTTTGAAATGGGCTCTCAAGAAGGGAAACTTAAGCTTGATGATGGGCTTAAGCCCAATTAAGCTTCATTTTCAGATTCAGCGAGAGGGATAACACGAAACCATTTATAGCACTAACTATAATTTAATTTTGCTTTAAATATTTCTTCAATGTTGGTTGGTAGGAACTCTATTATTTTTGTTCCAGGGAGCGAAAGATTTGAACTTACAAATCTTTTGATTTGACATAAGTGTCTTAATCAATTAATTTACATTTAATTGGTTTCTACATCATTTTCAAATCAAGGTGACAGATAATAAATGTGAGTAGTATTAATACAAAAGCTTTTTTGGAAGTAACACTCTTGCCCGATCATCTGTCTCCTAACTCCATTTATATTGTTCAACACATTTGTATCCTTTTTTAATAATTTCTTTTTAAATATAATATAATCATTCAAACAAGTAAAATATTAATATTAGTTATCATAGAACGTAATATTAATATTAATGTAAGTTCAAACGTAGCTAGGTGATAAGACAATGATTATTGTCACTAAATCTTAGTGATTCTTAACTTTCTTCAAAAAGTTGAGAATCAATCCAAAAAAATTGGACGAAGATGAGATAGTTGGAGATTCAATTATAGTAGTTTTAATCTTTTTCTAATTGATTTTAACATCTTAAGAGAATTTTAAAAACTAAGATAACATTTTGATTATACTAAGAAAAATAAGCAAATAAATAGTAAACCAAATCTATTTCAACCAGAAAAATATGAACAAAACTTATAAGACAAATATAAATATCAAGTCAACTTATTTAATAATAGTATAAATTCATGAGTAATTAACAAATAAGTTAAACTTTATAATAATATTATAATGTGAAAAAAATAATAACAAATAAAATCATAAACCATTTGAGCTATGCTGGGTTTGACGGGATATTGATGGTTAGTATAATAAATTTCATCCCTGTTAGATTTTGAGATGGATGGACTAAATAATATGTTATATAACCTTTAATCCATTAGCTTACTCAATCCCAAATGAAAGTAATATTGAACTTTTTAATTCTAACGCGATCTCCAAAATTTATGGATTAATTTTCCTAAAGCTGTGTGAATGCGATACCGTTAAAGCCAATTGCGAACCGCCAACTGCCAAAACCGTTGAGCTTTTTTGCGTGCCAGCGCCAGGACGACGGCCCCTATAAATTGATTCTCCGTTGTCTCAGGAGCCACCACGCTATTAAAATTCTCCATTTTTCTGACACCCGTTTTCTCCCAACTGAGATTCACCGGGAAAGAAAAATGGCGGATCTCAACGCCTCTCAGAATGGAGCTTCTGTCACTGTTACTGAAAATCAATCGGCTCTCATCTTCTTAGGCACTGGGTGTTCCAGCGCCGTCCCCAATGCAATGTGCCTCATCCAGCCCTCTGATCCCCCTTGCCGCATCTGTTCCCAGGCCCTCTCCGTTCCACCCGAGAAAAACCCTAATTACAGGTCATTTGCTTGCTTGGCTTTCACTTTCTTTAGTTCAATTGAAGCCTTGTGTTTCTCGTCTTAGTATAGGAGTAGTGGGCTTCTGTGTCTAGATCGCGCATTGCTCCTTTTCGGCTGGAGTTTTGTTTCTCTTCTTTCCTTGGATGCTTCTGAACGTGGGATTCGAGGAATGTAGTTTGATCTTGGCGTGTTAATTATTTGTGGACTGTTTGATAATTATCATTATTTTAGATCTGGGGCTAATGTTTTTGGATTTATGGAGAACCTAATGTGCTGTATGGAAAATGGATTTGTACGTCTGTATTTCCCAGTTGGGGAAATTTAGTTTAATTTTTTTCATGGGGATATTGTGCTCGAGCCTCGAGTCAGGAGTGGAAGATGGAGAAATTCCAAAGGCCAACACGTGAATCTGGAACAGTGATTAAGATAGGTTGAATTAATGTTTTTGAATATAATGATTTCGGAATTCATTTCTTTCCGGCTTCCACTTTTTCTTTCTGTCTCAATTTCCTTTCTTCCCAACATCAGTAAATGAACGGATGAGTGGTACCTTTACAATTGTATGTTTTTACGTCAAATTTGCTCACATGTAGCACTCTTTGTTTCTCTGTGTATTGTCCTAGGCATGCGGACTTAATTCTTTTTTTATTTATGGTTTATTGATTTGCAGGTGCAATACGTCTCTTCTTATTGACTATTGCCAAGCGGATGGCAGCCACCATTATATTTTAATTGATGTTGGGAAGACATTTAGGGAGCAAGTACTTCGATGGTTTACTCACCATAGGATTCCGAGAGTGGATTCAGTAAGTTGTCTCTGTGCACCTGTTCTTATTATGTCTAAAATCCATTATGTTATCGTGGGATAGATTTCCTTTGAGAATTGATATTGATAGCAGAGAACACGTAGTCACTAAAATGTATGACTCAAATTCTCATCGCCGAATGTAAGAATTGAATAGAATTTTAGTTGTCTTTTAAAATCATGGATTTATACTGACTACATACTATTTATATCAAGTTTCTCAACATTGCCAAGAATGATTTGTATAAATTGTCCTTGTTAGCTTTTGTCTTTATGGTTTATCTTTTTATTTTTTATTTTTTCTTCTCACTCCTTCGAGATTTGTATCTTTGAACAATATATCAAGTTTCTCATTGTCAAATGTGCATCGGTGGTTTTCTTGAGATTAGTTGAGATATTTTTAAGCTGGTCCAGACACATGGTTATAAGCTTCCTTCCAAAAAGTTTCCACAGTTTTACAAATTTTTTAAGTTGTTATTGTTCTAAAAACTTAATAAATTTGTAAAATTGTGGGAAAGTTTTTGAACGAAGTATGTTAGTGCTCAGCAGCGAGAATCTAGCCTTTGAGTAGTGCTTGTGCTTTGTAGGTGATCAATTCCAAGCTATAAACTTTCTCTACAACAATCAATAACTTGTGTTGTATGGAAATTCATTTCATGGACATAAGTGGCTCCCCACTGAAAAAAGCAAGTAGTTTATCTTAGTGCCTGCTTTTTAATCTTTATTTAACTGATTGTGTGCTATGAATCAAAATTATGGTTTTTAAAATACAGAAAGATTGCTTTGTCTGGAGAAGGAATACCTGAAATAATATTGTATTTCTCCAGATTATATTGACTCATGAACATGCCGATGCGATTCTTGGGCTGGATGATATACGTGCAGTGCAACCTTTTAGCCCTGTAAATGATATTGATCCCACACCAATTTACCTAACTCATCATTCGATGGAAAGGTTATTATAACCATCCTTTCTTACATTGTTTTAGTTTTATCTAATAAGATACTACATACCCTGATTACTACAGCCAAGGATTTTCTGTGCCTTTATTTTGGTGCATAAACATGTGTGACCCTCTGATGCCTTGGTATAGTCTTGCTTGATGCTTCATTTCTTTGAGATTCTTTGAAATTGCCGTTTCATGTAATTTGTTGTTCTATTAACTGGTACAACCTCTCTCTTCCATCTATCTATCTATATACCTTTATTTTTAGAGCATAAACATGTGTTACCTTGGAATGGAACCTTGGCATTCTTGCTTGCTGCTTCTTCTCTTCAATAATTTTTGACATTCCATGTAATTTATTTAATTCTCTTAGGCGGTAACAACTTGACTTCATTGTCATGCTTTCTCTTTAATCTTTTAGGCAGAAATGGCTCAATATTGCTCAACTGAACATAGAGGATGCTTACTTATGGATAAATAAAAACTTTAGATATATATAAACATGTATAGATGATGAAGGTCTATAAATATTTGACTTCTAGGATTCTGAGTGTACAGGTATATGAAATAGAGAGAGAAGTGAATACTGTTGTTGTGCTCGTTTGAACATCTTAGTCATATGTGAGAAAAGAATGACTACTGGTTCTTGTCTTTCCAATACATGATTAAGGGACAGAATACTGGACTGGAATAGCCGAGTCAAAACTTTTGTCAATTTGCATTGTTGCATGCACCTCAGTTGCTATCTAATTTGTAATTTTTTTTACAGTATTTCAGTGAAGTTTCCTTACCTAGTCCAAAAGAAACTTAGAGAAGGCCAAGAAGTGAGGCGTGTGGCACAGCTTGACTGGAAGATAATCGAAGATCATCATGAGAAGCCCTTTGTCGCATCAGGCTTACAATTTACTCCTTTGCCTGTCAGTTTTTCATACTTACTTGGGACATAATTCTCTTTTTCATTATATTTCTTTTTACAACTAACTGGAAATTTTCTAAATGTAGGTTATGCATGGAGAAGATTATGTATGTTTGGGGTTTCTTTTTGGTGAAAAATATAGAGTAGCATATTTTTCTGACGTCTCACGGATTCCTGCAAGCACAGAACATGGTGAGTATGGGTCTTGTCAACTTTGTTTTCTGTATACATTCGTTCTTTGCTCCTTTCGTGAATGTTTCTCATCAAAAGCTTCTAGAAGAGTCTTTTAATCTGAGGCATCTAATCTTGGCTTGAGGAACCCCGAGGATTGATCTTGAATATAATGGTTCTTGGATTTAACCAAGTGGTCGTGGATTCAAAATTCTATTTCATGAGTTTGATGATATCGAAGTGCTGAATATGGATGTATTTAGAGACACAAGAATGATATTGGTAATTAGGATTACATTAAGAATTCAAGAACATTAATATGAGATGGCTTCCTATTATGTTGGAGATTTCAAGAGCTACGCTTATACTTTACCTGTTTTTCTATTAGACCCTTTAAACAGTTCTTTAATATTTTAGTTCATGTACAAGTCAAACCTTTCGACCAGAGTTTATCAGAATTTTTTTACTATCTAGCTGTATGTTGCACCTCTATGGATCTTTACCATCGTACTCTAGTTCAGAATCTTTTAACTTGCACTAGCTTTCTCCGATTTTGCATCAAACTAGATTAAGACTGAGGGTAAGTTTGAAGAATTTTTTATTTTATTTTTTAGCATGAGATAGAGACATGATACTTTCATGGACAACAGTAACACATGACACAATATGTGTAAAAATTCTAATAAACTTTCGAAACGTTAGTACAAAGACTTCATGTCTTAAAAAACTTCCTTGAGAAAGTTTCAAAAAACTTTAGTGTATAACTAGCGAAGTAGGATCTCATTGATCTCACTAGGGGAATTGTAGAAATTGTTATCGGTATATAAACTATCTTTCTGAGAAGCAGAAAGGATCTCATTTTCAGTTTTTGGGTGGTCAGAACTTACAAGGAAAAGGCAAGTTCTTCGGCTTTGTGGGATTTTTACTATCTTGGGGGAAGTCTGGATTACAAGAAACGGAAGGTTCTAAAGTATTGAGGGATTTTGGGGGAGGTTTGGGTTCTTCTCTTCTGGCCTACATTTTGGAGTATTCCCCCTACCACCACCTGACCCCGGCGAGACTCCCACTTATTTTCTTTTCTTTTCTTTTTATTTCTTCTGGCCTCGAGCCTCTTTTTGTGTAATTTATTTTAGTTTTTTTTTATTTCCACCTTTTGAAAACCGAAAGCTTGTATGGGAACCTATCACTAATCTTAAATTCTTATATCTCATTATTTATACTGGGTTCGCAGTTATTTCAATAAATGGAGCTGGACGGCTGGATCTTCTTATCCTGGACACACTATATAAGGTCAGTATACATCTGAATAAGTCATCCAAAACTACCAATTCTACTGCAACTGAAGTTTTATGCAGACACTAATAACTATTATTTGTTTATTCTTCTGGAAGTAACTGGCAACACAATAATGTGTATATATATATATATATATAAATTTTTTTTTTAAAGAACGTATAAGAAATTCTGTCTTTTGGGAAAGAAATGTTGTACTTAACTTTGTGGGTTTCATTGACTGCAGAATGGATCCCATAACACTCACTTTTGCTTCCCACAGGTTTGTCATTAATTATTGTGCATATTAAATTTGTTGGAATTCCTTGCACGCATGGTATACTAACGAGAGCTTTTGCAGACCTTGGAAGCTGTAAAGAAGCTAAATCCAAAACGAGCCATGTTAATTGGAATGACTCATGAATTTGATCACCAGAAGGACAACGAATTCCTGCTTAACTGGTCCAAAAGGTGACATAACTCTTGATTTTTGACATTTATAGCTATTCCCAAGCGTCTAGGTTTTAGTGAGAGAGATTTTGTTCTAGGGAAGTTAAAAACAGAAATAAATTGTTGGGGTTCACAATCATGGTTGGCCTAGTGGTCAAATGTGTTTGAAGTCGAAGAATCAAACAGTGGAAGTATTCTTTAAGATTACTGGGCCAAGAATTTTCAAATTTTAGACGCCAATCGTTTGGTTTTTATTTTATTCAGGGAAGGAATTCCAGTGCAGCTTGCTCACGATGGTTTAAGAATCCCTGTAGGCCTTTAAACAGGTGATGTATTCCCCTTGAAACTCCTGGGTCTTCTTACAACGACTCATTCTTTTCTTTTCTTTTTATAAATTCTGATTATACTCCATGTCTTTTAAACCAACCCCACCCCTCCAAGAAAAGAAAAAAAGAAGGAATGAAAGATGACAATGAAAATTAAAATTAAAAAAATCAACTTGCTAAGATGAGATTTCTTCCTAAATACTAAAGCTCAAGAAATTACAAATATGCTCTCCCGAAGTCATTGTTGGACAATAGTGACTTAAATTTCAAACCAGAGAACACCATCTGGAAGGTTGGAAGAAAAAAGAATCTCTAAGATTTCGTTTACACCATCACTCGCTTCTTAAGAAAACACTAACCCCTCAAAAACACGACTCCTAAACTAGTTGCATCTATATATTAAACCGAATGATTTTAACTTTTATCTTTTAACCTTTCCTACCTAAAATGCGCTCTTAAGCAATTGAATGATATTATCAAGAAGGTCATTCAGGCCATCTCCTAAAACCAACATCCATCGGAGATGGCACTTGATGGTACTACTGCTAAGAATCTGGAAGTAAAGAACTTGACGGTACTACTGCTAAGAATCTGGAAGTAAAGAACGGGTGCTGGAGAATTGACAAGTTACTTATTTATTGCATATAATATTCTGAAATCATGGTTTGAAGTATAAATCATGCTGTGTTGCATGTGAATTGATGAGTATTTATACACAACAAACACTCCATAATTTTTCAAAATTGGTGCCTGGGCACTTTGAAGCCTCCCTATTGAGTCTCCAATGATAGTTTGAGTTTCTAATCCAAAAATAGAAATAAAAATAGTTCATGAGGCTAGTCCTTTTAACTTGCATGTATGGTTAAGTTTTCAATGATACAAAAACTTGAACATTCTGTGTGCAGGTCTATATGAACCATGAGTGAACGAATACCAGATTGATATAAGAGTACATCATCCCATGTGTTTTGGGAGAATACAATAATATTCTTTTTTGAAACTAGACGATGGACGTTCTCGATGGGTATGGCTACGGTGGTATTTGACACTTGAGAGTGACTGAAGAAGAATTGACAGGCTATTAAGAAGGTTTTTTTTTTTTCAGTACCTTACTGATCGTATTATTTTGGCCATCATCAGCATCAGGTGATTAAAATGATTTTTTTAGAAGCTAGGCGTGGAAAGTGAACAGTTCGTTGTGGAGTTAGAATTGTAAACGTTCAATAAAACTTGAAACCCTGTACAAAATTTAGCAGCAATATATCTAGCTAAAGGCAGTTTCTTCCCTGCCTTGATTGTTCTTGTTTAAGAAATTTGCCTCGTTTGTTCTGTGTGAAATGGTACAAAGTTTTGAATGCAAGAGATATAACAGAAAACAATACCCATTATCGAATTCAAATTTGAAAGTTCTCTAGTGTCATTTTTTCTTTTTCAAGCCCAACAAATTAGGAGTATGCGGGTTTGAACCTCCAACCTTGAAGAGAGGAGTAGACGTCAATTACTATTGATCTATACTTGCTTGGCTCTCATACCTTGATTAACTCTTGTTAACCATTTTTTTTTTTTTTTTTAAGTTCTAATATCTTTTGGAAGAGGCAAGTATGACTCTGTGAAGGCACTTTCAAACTGAAATTTTATAATTTTATTGAAATCTTCATAGGCAGATTCTTAAAATAGTGGTAACTGAAAGATGCATAACTACGCTTTTGTAATTTTAATTGATGATTTCAGTTTCTAAATGTTGAAAGTTCATAAAAAAACAAACAACGTGAAGGATACGTGCAAATTGTGCAGGTTGAATATTCAATTGAACATTCAATCATAATTCAAGCCAGTATGAAAAGAACAATTGACTTGACTGGAATTTTAAGCCACTGTGTTTTGGTTTTAAAATCAAATGTCAGACACCCATTTTCCAGAAAACAGGTAAAAATTCCAAGGCTTTATTAGTTTTTTATTTGGCACTTCTTCCAGAAGCTGACGAAGACAGAATTAAAGAAGACCAAGCAAGTCCCCAAGTCACCTAAAAAACTCATCTTTCTTAAACCCTTTTTTCTAAAGTGCTTTCCTTCAACTTTTGTTCTATGGGATTCTCTTCAAAAGCTGAAAACTTTAAGACAGAGGAGATGGAGTGCTCTGTGCCTTTTAATGACAGAGAATTGAGTATTAGCTTTCTTGTATTCAAGCCTATGGTAATGGTTGTAGATGACTTTATTGAAGCTCTGAAAGAATTCTCTTTCTTCACCAAAAATCTTGGCTGCATCCAGAGTTCTGTACTGAAGAGCATCCATGGGAATATGGTAAATTCACACAACACATCTAGATTTATCTTCTTGCAGCAGCTTAAATTTTGATCATCAGTATAATATCATCATCACTAATTGGCTTTGACCACTTCAGATCATATGGTGTGGAACTTGGGCAAAGAGATCAATTCAAAACACAGAATCATTAACTGAAGAACTGGTAAGAGAAAATTTTCAGTCACCCCATTTGTAATTTACATCTGTTTTCTTCATCTCAATGACTTGATCAGCTTGCTCATCTGCAGCTTCAAAACTTAACAAATATGTCAGACATGGCAAGCTTAACCGATCTTAGTTTCTTCGACGCGTATGCGGGCGATTCGATGGACGGTTCCTCGGTCGCAAAGTTTTCGAGTAATAGTACCATATCAATGATCTCAGCAGCTGCAAAGTCTGGTGATATAGATGATCTATCCTATGCTTGTTTGGCGATTTTTAAGTCTCGGTTTCGAAAGATGGAAGGCGTAAAGTCTGGAATTTGCTTGAAATGCGAAAGTAGGCCGAGCGTTGTTTCGCTATACGTGTGGAATTCTTTGTTTAACTGTTACTCTTGGATCTTGAACTCGGATCATATGAAGTCAATGTTGCCTTATTTGGATCGTTTCCCTCAGCTTTGTGTTAAATATGACATGTTTCAAGTGGTGGATGTAACTGTAAGTGATCATACAAATACTATTCCTTATTTTCAGTATTTGGTACCTCAGCATATGTTGGATAATGATCAAGACAAAAGAATAAAGTCTTGTGTGATGTGAAATCAATGACAAAGATACTACAATCACCGCTTCTCCTTTTGGCCGTGGTCTCTCTTTTTTCGCACGAATCTTTCTTTTCGAACTTGAAAAAAACTTCTTCTTTCACATATCTTTTGGTGTCGATCAATGATAAACATTTATCACTGGTAAACATTGATAGCTGTCTATCACCGATAGACGTGTGATACATCATTCTATCAGATCATTGATAAATGTCCACCCTACAAAATTGTCGTATTTGCAAAATTTTATTTCTTGTACTATATTCTTTTGCCCCTTCCCGACTATCAGAAAATAAAGATATAGTTAATACATTCAAGATAATTATGTATTTACAAAATACCGTTTCAATTCATCCTATTTCTTCATGTGATATGGTTCTGAAGGATGAACCGGATATGGATAGTTCCAATAAGATTTCATTCTTGAACAAAAATCCATTTATTTATTTATTTAATCTATTCCATAATCGAAACAGGATGGGAAAAATATTAAAATGACAAATATGGCAAAACTATCTGTCAGCTCAGTATAATTTTTCTACATTATATAGATTAGGATCGTCAGAGAGTGAAATAGGATCTTATAAACTATTTTTAAGAATTGATAACTAAATAACTTTTAAATGTTTATGTTATTATATCATGGTGAAATTTCCATTTACAAACTCATAAAAGATAGATTTTTTTTTTCTTTTTTATAATCTAAAAAACAGGTCATCCACGTGAATAAATCAACAAACCAATAAAATGGAGAGAAAAAAAAAACTCTTAGAAAAATAGATATCTAAATATACTTCCACTAATTTTACCTTCTTATTTTGACTTTGGTTGGAAACTTATCATGTTACAATACCATTTTAATATCATAATGTAGGTTTATTAAACTAGCTATGACTATGTCTATGAAAATTATTTGTTGAAAAAATTAAGATTAAAAATTATGATACTTAATTATATTGTAATGTAACATAGTCAAAAATATAATTGGAGATTTAAGTTGCAAATTCAGGGGCAATTAAAGTACTTTTACTATTTACCTATATATTTGTTTCTTTTTTTTTTCTTCAAAATTTTGTGATATATTCAATATGCTTGGGCTATTGTTTCAAAAAAAAAAAAAAATGCTTGGGTTATTGGCCTATTACTAGGGCTTCTTGTGAACGGTGATATTTTGGCCCATTTATTTGTAAACTAAATGCACCCTAAAATCTATTAATATTGTTTGATTTACGAACATAATTATTCTTATAAATTGTACTTAAAAAAAAGTATTCTTATAAATTTCACATTACAAAGGCTATTCAATATGAGGAGATTTTTTTTTTCCTTTTTTCCGTGTGGGGATTCGAATCCATGAACGTTTTGGTCAGAGATAGGTACCAATTACTGTTGAGCTAAGTTTAGATTGGCAGGAATTGTTTTTTTGGTACACCAAGTCATCTGGAATTTTGACTTGAAGGTTATTGGTGTTTTAATGAGTTGAGTTAGGTTCAAATCGGTATATTACAAATGTGAGATGTAAATATAAATTCAGTAAGCCCGTAGCTTGAGATAACCAAATTTACGTAATATTAGGGAGTGAGATTGTCGCGTGCCATGCAACCCTCTCGCCCAAAGAACATATGGCTGGACTTCAGCTAATTGGCCACACCCATACGAGGGTCTGGTCAGCTCATCTTGGTCCTCCAATGCTAGAGTCTCAGTTTGGCTCCGACCCGAAAAATGCAGGTATGGTTAATAGAGGATCCACTAATTAAATTACCCATCAGTGAAAAACTTATTGCCTTACACGTATAGAATGTCAAGTAGCAGGACAACGTGTCTCAAAACTCAACTATAAGAAGCGAAGTTCATTATGTACAAAGGTATGCAATTCGTCTGCAATCTAATTAAGTTCGTCTCGACACTAGTTCGGACTAACTTAAATTTTGGAATGTACGTGGTCGAACGACACATTAGTGCAAGATTTTATCTGCAAGTTCACCACATATACGAAGCTTTCATGTGCATCACCCCATCTAACACATTGCAAAAATAGACTTAGCTCCACAAGTATAAGTTTTACTCAAATATTAAAAAAGGATTTGCTTTTACAATTTAACTAGTTAATATTGATTTGACTAACCCAAACATTTATTTTCACTTTTTAAAATTATTAATCATTTGCATCCCCAAGTTCTTGGGATGGGAAAGAAAGGCCAATGCCTTAAACTTCACAAAACAAAGTCAGATCATAAGATTCAGGTCAGCTGGGGCTTTGGCTTAGGGTTTCTCCCATTGGAACTTGCTTTTCAATTATTTTAGATTCTTAATTATAAGTTATTTGCATTATTTATTCTGTTTAATTGTCACTTGGTTCATGCACCAAACACACTTTTATTTATTTATTTATTTATTAGGATCCTACAAATTCAAAGTCATTCTTCAATCTTCACAATATATTCAATAAAGTTGGTGCAAATTTGGTCTCTTATATATTATTAAATATGGCCACAGCTGTGTTCTTTTAAGCCACCATTTCCATAGTGAATTACATCTACTAATTAGCTGGTTTTCTAACTAATGTTTTGTAAAATTTTGTTTAAATTAAATTTCCTACTTTTTAATTATCTCTATTTTTTATTGTTCCTCATAATACTTGAAAAACTTACTCAAGTTGAACTCAACCATAAATACTTTAAAATTAATGAGCAAGAATGGAATTTTAATGCCATATAATATATTTTTTTTTAGAACAACAAATTGGGGGTAGGGATATGAACTTCCAACCAAAAAAAATAGTGGACAGTACTATCTTTAAATAGTAGCAAAGTTCACAATACGAGCTCAAAATTCCTACTCATCTTTTCAATTCAATTCAACCCTCGTTTGAAGAAAGAAAAGAAGATAATGACTTATTATTATAATATATTGAGCAATAATTAGCATACACAAAAGAAACATGATGAGAAAAATTGAAGTTTCAAAATTTTCAACAAACCCAAAAGTGTTAAAAAAGAAAAAAAAAAAAGACTGATGGGTTTGGAGAGAATAATAATGAAGCCAACCCCACAACCCCTTTTCTTTTGGGGTGCTATCATTAGAGATAGTGCCCTACATTGTCACCATTCCATTCATCATTTTTACAATTTCTTTTTTTTTTCTTTAAATGAAGAACAAAAAAATAAATAATAAATAAAAAAAAGGAGAAAAAGTTTAAACTTTGCTGAATATGCATCCAAATTACACAACCTTTTTATACAGAATTGGGCATTCCCAAGTCCCACACCTCAGAAATTGAGAGCTCAACCAAACCTCATGTGCTTCTCTTTTATAACTCAAAAGGCCATTCTTTTCAAGCAACAAGAAACAAGATTGCACAAATCTCAACCCAACAGCCTTGCCTTGTTGGTCAGGATAAGAGGAAAACGACAACACGTGTCTGTAGACCGATGGCAGTATTTCGTCACCCATATCGAGTTTTTGTTACTTTTGTGCCAAAAATATATAATAACATTGACATCGTAACAACGTTAAGAATTCAAAAAACAAGACGAACAAAAAGAAGAGAACCTTAGTTTGATTCAAATTACTTACCTAAGCACTATGCATGTCACTTCATTATTCGAGTTTATAATATTCATTGGAATAATTTCAAAATACTATTAATTGAGTAACATCCAACATCAAATATTACCAAAAAATCTCTACTATATGGATGCTATATCTCTCTCCAACAGGTTTATCATCTGCAGTGGTAGCTTTCAAATTTAAAGCCATTGCTGAGGGAGTGATGAGACAAAGTCCAGAGGCTGTCTGGGAATCAAGGAATTTACAAAAGCATCAGACCAAGAGATTCAGAAGGCAGTGTGGGCCTGGGGCCCATTTCAGAGCTTATCAAGAAAGGAAAAAAAAAAAAAATCTGCATTTATCACAATTCAAGAGGGGGGGCCATTGGAATCTGAGTCAAGAGTGGGTAAATTTTGCTTTCAACCTTTCATTTTCATTTTGATGCAGACATCTCATTTCATTTAAGCTTTTTACCACTCTGTAAAGTACCATCACTTTTGTTTGATTCCCTCTCATTGCCTTCTTCAAGAGGGAAACAAATTACATCAATGAATAAAGTTGGCATGGAAACAATCCATCTGTTTCATCTCTCACTCATGCATGCAATGCATATACATTTTCTTGAGGTTAACTCGGACTACTACTGATGGTTTGACTAAAAACATTCGGTTAGCTTGTGTTTCGTCTAGAGATCAATCGATTTCACATTCGTATGAAGAAAAAAGGAGCCGGCAGCTTCATGGTATAGGATGTTTGTTAGGAATCAGTCAATCCTGCTAAATTTACTTCATTTCTATAAACTGCAAGAGAAACAAGAGATGATTAAACCCAAGTCTTCTTCTTCAAATGAAATATCGATGTCCTAATGCTAGTGCATCGCCGGTATTAGACAGTACAGAACATGAAATGAAAATGTCTAATTACAGTACTAGCTCATAAGCGTTTAAACTAGATTTCTGTAGCTTTTTCCATATCCTCATATGAAGAATTTAAAGAAAAAGGCTAAAATTACACGAGAGAGAACAATGATGTCGATCGTAGCCCGGATGAGTCACTCAGTAGTCTAGAGGCCCGACAGAGGTTATCCCCGAGATCAAATTTCTCGAGTCCTGTCGGCTACCATAGTCGTCACAGGTGCTGTTTGAGAGCCTCTGGATTGGCACGGAGTTCAGAAGTTCTAAACCTCGTTTGCCCATTTCCTGAACTTCTTCTGGTGAAAGTATTTTGATACACCACACACTGTTCACAAACTCCCTGGTATGCATAAAAGATTTGCATGGTTGAGCCACTAAATAATTGAAATATAAAGCATAAGCCTTAGCTGACAAACTTAGGAAAATCTACAGCATGTCCACTCCTTCAGTTCATTTTTAAAGAAAAGTTTTCAACTATATCATTAGCCATTTTCTAGGAAAGTTGGCTAAAAAAGTTTGAAGGCAGAAATCTGAATAAAACAACTATATTCTTAATTTGACATGATGTAGATATGGCCTGCGTATAAACTCAACAAGAACAATGAATAAACCGAAGGAACAAAACTTACGGCCACGGGCCATCCCCAAGGAGAAGAACGTCATTCTCCCGGTCAACGAATACAAGCTGCCAGCCTGATCTCAAAGGATCCTCCAACTCGCCTTCTAGGCTAAACATGCGAGCAAGCTCGCTGCGTAGCTCAGGATAGCTGTTGAATTTTGATATATCTAGCGACCTACTGTAGGACCCTGATTTGTGAACCTGTGAATAAAATGTATGAGCAAAGAAGGCATTAAGGATAATAACAAGGCTACATTATAGTACAATGTAAGAATGAGATGTAAACCAAACATTCTGAGAGAGAAGCAAAAGGTGACCAGAAAATCACCTTGACAAAGGTTCCGTTCGATGGGTTTACTTGGCCTACATTTTCATGAGACTGCAGAAAACCTGATTCATTGATGCAATTCGAGGATGTCATCGTTGGATTTACAGAAAAATCGGTAACAGCAGTGCTCATGTAATTGGAAGAAAAAGGTAGAGTTGTCGAAACACTATCATTGCCAACTCCCCTAAGGTTTGACATCCCATTCTGCATTAGAAGGGATGAAGAGTCTATATTCACACCAAATAAAACATGGTTCTGTGGATCCGAGCCCTCATCTCGATCAATAGAACACTCCCTTCCAGGGAAGGGTGGCAATGCAACTGTATTCTGAGAAATACTACTCTGTGATGTTCCCAAATTGTCCACTTGAGGTAGAAAATACTGAGAAGCTCCAGTAGAGAGAGGATCAATAGCAGCTCTCTTTGATGGCCAGCCTGCTGAAGGAATTATTGAACTTGTTCTTTGGATGTTAAGCAGCTGAGACGATTCGTCTTGGACAAACGACCCTGCAAGGCTATGCAATGGGGAAACAGTAGGACTAGTTACAGGGTTACCATTGGAATCAGAAAAACTTGGTTGCTGGCAAAGGGAAGGGACGGTTTGCAGGGATGGTGACTGGGATTGGGAACATGAAGCAAACTGAGATATAGCAGGAATCGTACAAGGAATCGGTTGATGATCAACCAGCGGCTGCGGCTGTGACTGCGGCTGCCGTGGTTGCTGTTGCTGTTGCTGTTGATGCTGCTGTTGTTGATTATTAAATGACTGCTGGGGCTGCAATTGTTGCTGCAGATGATGGGACTGAGTTTGCACCTGAGCCTGAGACTGAGAATGCTGCTGGTTTTCTTGAATGGATTGTAGAAACGCCTGTTGGGGTTGGGACTGATTCAACATCTGAGGCTGCATTAAGGTAGAAGACTGGCAAGGAAGACCTTGCGGGTGCTGGAATTGTAGAAGGGATGTAGGTGCGATTTTGGAATAATCGATCGCCCTCATCTCCTGAAGAGCAGCAGTAGCCATGGCTTGATACATGTCAGGTTGCATACCAATCATGGAAGTATCAAGCCTTGGCTGCATCCATGGAGAGACCCCAGTTCCCTGGAAGTTTAGACATGGGATGCCACGATCGCTATTATCTCCCCGTATCCACATGAAAGGAGAATTCATGCTGAAGTCGCTGTCCTTGATGCCTAAGAGAGAAACATGTAGAGAAGTTGGACGTGGCTGCCCAAAGTCAGGATTACACTGTCGATGCCAAAATACAATGGGAAGAACAGAAAATAAAGCCAGAACTCATAATTCATAACTAGAATATGATGTTAGAAGCAACAATATGCATTCATGATAACACAGTCCTTGGATGTAGAAGAAATGGTGGTAACTGGTGAGAGGTATACATACCGAAAGAAGGCAATGCAGTAGGCCATGGACGCTTCAGCCTAAGCGGAAACGGTGATGGATACATTGGAAATGTCGTTAATGGTTCAATTTCCCATAAGGACACTCTTGGCTGCCGCTCGCCTGCTGTTGACTCATCCCAACCAACCTGCATCAATCAGCTTATTAAAGTGATACAGCTATTCATGATCCACAGAAGAAAAGGAAGGAAAGTAGATAAGACCTCATCAGATAGAAACTTAAGCTTTACGATTCATGAAGTATGAATTATTCTCACTAACCTTGACCGATCGCCAATGTGAATTTTGCCATCTTACAGGATCTAAGTCACTAATGCCAGTGATTGTGCCCATGTAGCTGCATACGCGAAAGAAAACACAAGGAAAATACGGATAAGGCATCTAATTTCAGTTGTGGAAACCTTGGTACTCAATTAAATAAGCTCAAAGTGATTAGGTAGCGGGTGTCTTCATTGCCAAAAGCAATAACTGAGATGCAAAACTAAGTGCCGCCACAAAAAGAGCTAGAAGGCACATAAGTAGAGAAGACTATTTCACCCATCAAACTTACTAATCAAAAGATGTTTGCATAGAGAACTATAGAACTAACATTCCAAACCTACCGACGAACACTTGATTCTTCCGTTTCAAACAGCATCCTAAAGCGCATACCAACAGAAACGCGAGTATGGTAGACTGCCTTCACATATTTGGACAGTGGTATGACAAACTCTGAAGGGCTAGCCCTGATCAGAAGTCCGATTTTAGTATAAGAATCAGTATACTAACAAAACAAAACATGTAATAGTTCAAGAATACCAATTCGAGCATCCGTAAAAAATCACACCTTGGGTTAAAAAATATGGTAAACCGACTATTGGTAGCAGCTGCATGAGCTGCAGCAGCAAGAAGCCCTAAATGCATGCTATCACTTGACAAAACTGATGAAGGCATCACAGTTTGTGGTCGACTTGCACGCCTGATTCCAAGGAGTAACTGATTTTTTTCATTCCTGAAGAAACAAGGCGGATAATATTGAGGCTGTCAAACACTGACAAGCTGGATAGCCCAAAGTCAAGGTGAAATAAATACTTATGAATAATGATTATTTAGCAGATATCGTGAAGGAAACTAGATTGATTGACACTAAACGCTTGGCTGACCACTGATTTTATTGTTCCATTTTGATGCTAAGTCAATTGTTCAGGTAACAACTGACAAGAATGCTGTTGGATCACAAATATTAAACCAAGAAGAAATGAAGAGAACATGACCAATGCTCTCATCAAAATGCAACGCAAGTAGAAGTTCCAAGCAAATATGCCATGCCATGAAAATCAAGAAAAGAAAGAATTCAACCATGAGACAACTTTTAGCATACCAGATAAAAAGTACAGCATCACCAGCAACAAGTCGTTTAGCACTCACAAAAATGCTCCATCCAGTAGTTAGAAGGTGCCTTTTAGGCTGGCCTGCAAAGAGAAATTAAGAACATTGGGGATAGGGAATAATAATATGGAACTACTACATGGAAGGAGCAACTCTCAAGATTGTAATATATCACCAATGAGAGGGTTGGGGAGAGGGAGAAGCTATCCAAAAACGAACACCCACCGCGAAATATATGTCTAAATTTCCACTCATTATCATGTAGGTCCTTCGCAATTAGCTCTTGTGCTGGGGGCTGCATGGAGAAATCCTGCATCGAATGTATATTGTCAGAAAAAATCATGAACCATGATTTCCAAACGATAACGCAGACCTTTCAAGAGTACTTACCAAAGGAGGGAATACTTTTTCAGCAGCACGGCGAGGAACAGAAAAACCTCCATGGGTGCTGGTATCACTGGCTGTCAAAGTTTTGCAAAAATAATTCGTAGGCTGCCTACTTGGAGTGCCTAACTCGGCTGGAAGGTAGGCTTCCTTCAATTCTTGCTGCATAATAAATAAGTCATCAAAAAAACGTCAAAAATGGAAAACAAAATTGTGAAGGCCAACTAATCAAAATGCCAGAAAAGATAAATAATCCTACAGCACTCAAGGGCTGCAAAGTCATCTGGGCATATACTTCATCTGTCTCAGCATCTGCCTGAAGTTTCAAACACACAGAAATTAGTAAGAAGCCCAGCCTATAATAATCAAACCAAGAAGAAACGAACCATCAAGTCGTACATGCATGGTCAGGTTGTGAAGTTGACAGATTAGCTGCGGCGGTAAACTTGGGTAGTTTGGGATCTGGGCATCCACCTCTCTATTGGTAGATGCAGCGACCTACCCAGAAAATAAGTGTCGTATAAACTTTAAAACTAGAAGAGCTTAAAGATTGGATCAGTGTACTCCCAGTAGACTTCACAAATGAAGAATGCAACAATTTCAACAATCAAATGAATCCTACCAAACAACATATAGTCCCATATGCCAAGACTTTCTCAGTTTAGTTCATAAAATAACAGACGAAAGATCATATCAATTTCCAGAAGATAACAAAACAGCAGAAAGAAGATTGTCCGCTGTCAAAATCTCAACTAGACACAGAGTGTCAGCCACGAATCAGTAGCCATCATGGTTGTTAAATCTCAACAGAAAATCAAATTTTAGAGGTCAAATAGAATGAGAAATGTTTTGAACAGCCATTTAGATTAATACATGGAAATTCATGGAGTTTACCTGCTCACTATGACCTTGCGGAAAATAAACAACGCGACTGCCAACAGCCGGTAGAGAAACAAGAGGACCCGCGCACGCATGCCAAAGCTCAGAATTCAGGACCCTCCTCTCCCCTGCAAAATTTATGTCAATTTTCATGAAAAAGGCCAATGTTTCCAATAAGGAAATCCCGCGGCTGGACCACTCAATTGGAGAGAGAGAGAGAGAGACTTCATGGTTGACACAGAGATT